CAAACAGCAAGACCTTGTCTCAAACAACAAAAAAACAAACAAAACAAGCCATGGACTGGAGAAAATTTTATATATGTATATGAGGAAGATATTCAGAAAATACAAAGAATTCCCCCTCTAGGCTATTGTGACTCAGTAGGTGTGAGCTGGGGTCTTTCCACATAATTTAAATAATCACCTGAAACTTTTTTTTTAATTCTCTCAGATTTCAGAAGGACTCAAAGTACTGAAATAGTAATGGACTTGACTAGGGGATGCTGCCCACTAATCAGCAGGACCACAGAAATCTCTGTCAGATATTTCAAGCACAGAAATTAGCAAACAGATTACTGAAATTAAATTAGAGTACAAAAAGTGTACTAATGCATAGGATCTTAGTCTTGTAAAGATGGCATTTAAAATTAGTAGAAGCTTGAGGTGTATCTCAGTGATAGAGCTGTTGTCTAGCATTTACCAGGCCCTGGGTGTGATCCCTAGCACTCCCAAAAAAAAAAAAAGAGAAATGACTGGAAAAAAAAATGAACTCTAATAAATTGTGTGGGTACAGGTGTCTACCTTTTTCTCTCACTGTTTACAGAAAAAAGTTCCAATGGAAAAGAACTTTTGTTTCCTAATTCCTGTAGTCCTGGCTACTCAGGCACTGAGGCAGGAGTGTCATTTGATCCCAGAAGTTCCAGGCCAGCTTTGGCAACGTAGGGAGGCCTCATCTCAGAAATCAAAACAAAAATACTGTACAGTTGTAGACACAGTAGTAAGCCTGCATTTAAATGTCCCATTTTCAAGAATGAGAAACAGTTTATTCTATATTAAAGTATTGACCTCAGCATTTTCTTTTTAGCATTAGCATTAATTGCTTTTATTTACATATATCAGAATTAGAAGTTCAGCTTTTGACTTTTTTCCCCTCCAGTTCTTTTATTGGTACATTTTAGGTATGCAGTACGTTTACATTTACCATTGGGAACTTGTACCTTTACATGATGTGTCTTGGTTCTTATTTTTTCCCCATTTCCCCGCCCTCCTTTCACCTCTTCTACCCCTCCCTATTTATGAAGACTTTGTTTCCATTTTTTCCTTTTCTCATATTTTTTTCCTTTCCTTTCCCTTCTCAGCTTTTGACTTTGAATTGCCATCATTGGTCTTCTAGGAACAAAGTGAATAAAATTGTTCTGTTTTTGTTATCACATCAGAAACTTGAAAGTACATGAAGAGTTTTGAATGGAGGAGTCACCTATAGGGCAGATATTAAGTAGTGAGAAAATCCCTGGGTGTGTCTCCATCTTTTCTTTTGGCTTGCTGTTGAACTATGTTATACAATCTGTCTCCCAAAGGAGCATTATCACTGTATTCACATGGGCCAATAATGGGAAGGTTTTACACTCTTCCGAAGTTGGCTCTTATTTTTCTTTGTTGAATTAACATAAAAAAGGAGTGCGGAGGGTGGGGATTTAGCTTAGTGGTTCAAACGCCTGCCTCACAAGTGCCAGGTTCCAAGGGATGGAATTGTCAAAGGATAATATTTTTGTTTTGTTTTGTTTTTTAAGAGATGTAGTCTTGCTGTATTGTCTAGACTGAGCTTGAACTCCTGGGTGATCTTCCTGCCTCTCAAGTAGCTGTTACTATTGGTGTGCATCACTGTGCTGAAATTTTTATATACTATTGAAGTTAAGGTGATATGAATTTAAATTAATGTTATAACTTTAGGATGTTAAATGTAAGCCCCATGGTAGCTGCAAAGAAGATAACTGTAAATGTACAGATGTTTCTTGATTTACAATGGGGTTACATTACAGTAAACTTAAAAGTAAGTTGAAAATATTGTTAAGGATTTTAGCTCAGTAGTGCTGCACCTGCCTCACAAGCACAAGGTCCTGAGTTTGATCCCTGGTCCTAGAGAAAAAAAAAAGACAGAGAGAGAAAAGAAAATATTGTTAAGGGCCAGGGTTGTAGCTCAATGGTAGAACACTTGCCTAGCATATACTGGAGGCTTTTTGTTAACTCTCTAGCACCACAAAAAAGGGGGTAGTCCTGGTGTTAGGTTGAAAATGCATTTCATGATACACTTAACCTACCAAAAATGCCAAACAACATAGACTAACTTGGCCTACCTTAAATACGCTCAAGACACTTAACATTATTGTATTGTTGGGCAAAAATCATCTAACACAAATCTTATTTTATAATAAAATATTAAAATATCATAGTTTATTGAATATAGTATATATAGAGTTTCATTTGTTTGCCCTCATGATTTCGTGGCCATTTAGAATCTGCTATTCTCTGCCAGCACCAAGCATTGTGTGTGTGTGAGAGAGAGAGCATCATACTGCATATTACTACCCCAGGGAGTTCAAAATTTGCAATATGGTTTTTAACTGAATTCATATCACTTTCTCACTATCAGAGTTGAAAAATCCTAAGTGGAACCAAAGAGAAATGAGATGGGAATTTAAATGTTTCAGTGTAAAAACATTAGCTAGCTTGGTGTGGTGTCACCTGCCTATTGTCCTAGCTATGCAGAGGGTGGAATCAAGAGGATTCTGAGTTCAAGTCCAGCGTGACCAATATAGTGAGACTGTAACTCCAAACACCAACCGAACAAAATATAAAAGAAGACGGTAATGCAGTAAATGAGGGAGGAAGAAACAAATGAAACTTGTAGAAAACAAATAGCAGCTGAATGTGGAGGCTGAGAAGTATGCGATCAGGGTGCCAGTAGGTTTTGTTAGGTTTGCTTTCTGCTTCCAAGATGGTCCATATTCCTGCATCCTCTGGAGGTGAGAAAAGCTCTGTCTTCACGTGGTGGAAGCTGGAAAGGCAAGTGTTGTAAGTGGACTGCTGTCCATACTTAATTGAGAAGTTTGGGAAGGAGGTTGGACAGTACTTTATATAAGTTATTTTAGTGGAGCTTGTCTCTATATTGTCTTTTTTCTTCTAGAAGAAGTGTTCTATAAAATTGTTCTTTGTCATTCAATTGGATTGGGTATCCTTGACTTGAAAATAACTTCACTGAATCCATTGCATTTTATTGTGTTTGTATATGTCTTTTTTGGTACCAAGAATCGAACTCAGAACCTTGCACTTTCGGGGCAGGTGTGGTGCCACTGAGCTAAATCCTTGGCCCTGTGGTACAGTTTCTTTCTAGTGTGTGGTATTTGTGCCTCTGTTTCAATCTCAGAACCTTGTGTTTTATTTCTTTAATTTTACTGCAACTATAATCTTGTGAACATTGACCTTATTAGTAGCAAAGTCACTTTTTCTTTGGCTGTGTTTGTACCCCTTGACTCAGATGTATCTGCCAGCCTTTCAAAATGGCTTGCGATGGGCTTTTTTTTTTAATAACAGCTTTGCAATAACTTAAACTGGAGCCTCATGTTTTCTAGGCAAGTACTCTACCACTGAGCTATATCCCCAGCTCTTTTATTTTATTATTTTTTAGTGACAAGGTTTTGCTAAATTGCCTTGGCTAACCTGAAATTTATAGTTCTCCTGCCTCAGCCTTTTGAGTCACAGGATTATAGGTTTGCTGCACCACACCCAGTATCCCAGGATTTTTTTACTGAACTAAAAGAAACATTATACCCATTAGCCATTACTGTACATCCTACAGTAATCTCAGCTCTAGGCAACCAGTAATTTGTAGATTTGCCAATTCTGGACATTTTGTATAAATGAAATATGTAATATGTGACCTTTTGTGACTTCTTTCATTTAATGTTTTTAGGCATCATCTCTGTTGTAGGATATATCACTACTTTATTATTTTTTATTGCCAAAAAATTCCATTGTATGGATATACTGTATTTAATTAATTAATTAATTTTGAAAGCTTTGAGGTATATTCTTACTATTTTATTATTTATTTGTTTGTTTACTTACTTATTTATTTATTTATTGAGACAGGGTCTCACTATGTAGTTGAGACTGACCTGGAACTCACTGTGTAGCCCAGGATGGTCTTGGACTCACAGCGATCCTCCTGCCTCAGCCTCCCGAGTGCTAGGATTACAGGCGTGCGCCACCACACCCGGCCTATTTATTTATTTTCATACTTTATTTATCTACCAGTTGATAGACATTTGGATTCTTTCTACTTTGGGGATGGTATCAATAATGATATTATGAACATTCATATACAAGTTTTTGTGTGGATATATGTTTTAATTTCTCTTGACTGTACACCTAGGAGTAGAATTGCTGGTCATAGGGTAATACTCTGTTTAACGTTTTGTGTATGTGTGTGTGATAGAGTGGACCCTTGACTTATGAACTCATTTAGTTCAAGAGGGCTATTATAACTCAGGTAGGTCAACTGAAGGCTCAGGCTCCTCTGCACAGCCTTCACAGTCCCTCTCCTGTGTATATAAGGCAAATCTCAGTGTCCTTCGACATTGTCCTAGGGTTTGTCAGTTAACCCCACACAGGAAAGGATGTTGTCATGTTCCTTCCAGAGCTCTTTAAAGGTTGAATCTGTATCAAGACCACCTGGAAGCATGAGCAGCCGGCATTCGGGTCATAATTTAAGACTATTCATAAGTTAAAACTAAAATTCCAGTCCTAACCCAAGTTGTTTGTAAGTCAGGCCAGTCGTATGTCTGCATGTCAAGGGCCCACTATACTGGGGGTTGAACCCAGGGCCTTTCCACTGAACTATACCCCCATCCCTTTTTATATTATTTTATTTTGTTTCATTTTTTATTTTGAAGCAGGGTCTTGCTAAGCCACCAAGTTGTCCAAACTAGAGTCAAGCTTGCAGTGCTTCTGCCTCAACCCACCAGGCTACTGATCACAGATGTACACCACCATGCCTGATTTAGTAAGAATATTATAGAAATTTTGCTGTGTTTTTCACATTGCATCCTTACAGGTGGCCTACAATGTCAATTTCTATCCCTTTAGAAGGAAAAAACAGATAAAGGAGGGAAAGGGGATAGGAGAAAAAAACACATTGTTTTGCTTTTCAGAGAAGCCTTGGTTCAATACATACTTTTTCCTTATAGCATCCTGGTGGAGAAGAGGTTCTGCTGGAACAAGCTGGTGTAGATGCAAGTGAAAGTTTTGAAGATGTAGGCCATTCCTCTGATGCCAGAGAAATGCTAAAGCAGTACTACATTGGTGATATCCATCCGGTAAGAACTCCCAGAAAGTGAGGAGCACTTAGGCAGAGAAAACTGCTGAATAGCCACAGGATGGAATGAGAGAATGATGAAAATAAAAATTCATCAACACAGTCATCACGCTAAATTTCCTCTAAGGATCATCTACCTTACAGTGCAACACATACGGTATCTCTGAAAAACTAAGGGGATTGATTTTATTGACTGATTCTTTTTGAGGTTTTTTTTTCTTTCTTTCTTTTCTTTTTTTTGATACCAGGGATTGAACTCAGGACCTTAGGCTTGCAAAGCAGGCACAGTGCCACTGAGCTACATCCCCGGCAATTGATTGATTCTTGTACAGCAACTAATAACATTTTTACTTAAAATAGTGATTTTTGGTAGTTCTTGGAAGTCCCACACCAAAGGTGATAACTATGGACTTTTAATTCCTCTGTACGTACTATTTTAACAGGAGACTCTGATATGGTAAGAGTAGAGAGGGTCAGTTCCCATCTTCAAACCCTGATGTTTCCCAGGAATTCACTACTACCAGATTATAGTCTCATGTTCCAACATTAGAAATAAGCACATATTAAGAGTTCACTTGGGGCCAGGGATTTAGCTCAGCGGTTCGATGGCCTGCGTTGCAAGGACAAGGACCCCGAGTTCAATCCCTGGTACCAAAAAAAAAAAAAAAAAAAAAAAAAAAAGAGTTCATTTGGATATGTATAATACTGTTTTCTTCTTTTAACAGAATGACCTTAAACCTCAGAGTGGTAGCAAGGTAAGAAGTCATCAGTTTTTCTTGTCTTTCAAGTGTTATGTTGCTGTTTACTCAAGCAGAATTGCTTTGTTAAGGTTATCTTGACAAGAGAAGTTAAAAGATTTGAAAGTGTTTACTTTTTCCCCAAGCAAAAATCCTGTTTTTCAGGAATTTGGACTCAGTACCTCTCAGGAAAAAGAATTGCTGAGTCTTGGACAGTAGGAAACATTTTATTAATGCTTGTTTTTTAAATTGAAAGTCTAAAGCTATATTCTCTGTATGGTTTTGAAAGAAATTAGTTTATGGGTTCAGTTATAGAACAGTATCTTAATCTTACATTATATGGAATAGTTAATAATTCTATATTCAAAAGATTTGGAAATTATTTTTTTTTCTTTTTATTGAGTTTACTGGTACATTTTAGGTACACAGTACAGTTACATTCTTACTGGGATCTTGTACCTTTACATGCCGGGTCTTGGTTCTCATTTTTCCCCCATTCCCCTGCCCTCCCTTCACCTCCTCCTCCCCTCCCTATTTACAAACATTTTATTTCCATTTTTTCATTTTCTCATATTTTTTTCTTTAAGTTAATTTTTTCTTATATGTTGTCTTTTTTATAATTAAAGAGGTCTTTCCATCCTTGTTTCCCACATTTATTTCATTCCGCAAGCTCAAATAGGCCCACATCCTTTCCCAGTAACTCAGTGATATAACAAAAACAAAAGATTAAGTATTGGAATGTTTGAAAACTTTAATATATCTCTGCATTATATACCAGGAAGAAAATACAAAAGCTTTTGCTGCTTCCCACAAACTGGGTGGTTCCATCTGTCATATGTATTTTCTTACAATTTCAAATAGCTGTTACAGTACCCTCTGAATTTAAAAGACAGAAATCTAGGTGCTGCCTAGAATAGCGTAGGATACCACATAACCTCTCTTGTTGGTTTTTGCTTCCCATTCCTCACTAAGCCAGAATTATTGACCAGGTTTAACACAGAAATTCAAATTGACCTGGATACAAGAATTCTTTGAATTCAAGAGTGCTTGCTTGGTGGTATCTGCCATCTGTTGCCCTGCAATCCAGGGTGTTTGTATAAATTAACCTTTCCATCTTGCTAGTTTCTATTCTGAACTCTTGAGATGTTTATGAATGGGGATTAAAATGGTCCTTTAGACACATTGTAAGCACTGGTAGTCGATGTGTCCTCCCTTCTTATACATATACTACCCACATACTCATGATATTAATGTAAAATTTGAACCAAGTGTGGTCTTAATTAGTATATTGAACATATCCAAAAAAAATCACTGTTAGCGATCAGATTTGATCAAAGGATATTTCCATTTTTGCGAAAGATACATCTTGTGTGTAGGAGCCATAACCCATTTCTGCACAGCAGTAACGAGAGCATCTTTATGTTAAAACAGTAGAAAAAGTATTTTTGCAATTACAGTGTCTAGATGTCTCTGAATTGCTTTTTGTTGCTGTTTTTCTTGGTAATACAGTAGTTAGAACTATCTAAGAAATGCAGAGCAGTGTTCCTTAGATTCTATTCCTTGTATCACATAAATTGGAATCCCTTAGAATGATCATAGAATATATATTTCCCAGGCTTCCACTACTGCCAGACTCTCTAGAGGTAGAGCTTTAGCTTTTGCATTTTTGTTTGTTTTTGAGACAAGGTTTTGCCATGTAGATCAGGCTGGCCTTGAACTTGGGGTGATCCTCCTGTGTTAGCCTCCCAAGTACTGGGATTACAGGTATGTGCCACCTTGCTTGGCTATATTTGCATTTTAAGTAACTGAGGTGATAAGCAGGTTGCCAAGGACCAAACTTTACTAAATGATATGCCCTTTTCATTTGAAAACTTAGTAAAATGTAACTCCCCTCTGTGGAAGACATTATCTGTCCTCTATGGGCCAAAAAATTCTAGATTCTCCAGCTGAATTAAAACTTGCACCTTGGATTTTTTGTAAGCAGTACAGAGAAAGAACCCATTTCAACTCACCAAGATCTATAATAATTTAGAAGTCTCCAAATGTAGTTTAGCCCTTCCAAGGATTAAAGGGTGACTAAAGATAGTGTTTTCCTCCTGTCACTTCTACATAAATGACCTGTCCTCTTGAGGTAGGGTCTGGCGGTTGTGTTTTCAGTCACACTGCTCTGCCTCAGACAAGCATGTTTTTTGGTCGATTTTCAAAACCACCTACATAGTTCATAGAAGTATATTCCAAAGTGGTATCAATTTCAGGAAGAAATTGTTCCTCGGATTTATTTCTTAATAAATAAACATTTTAATAGATACTTGCATACATAGGTTATAGGTATCCATCTTCATTTTTCTATCTCTGGCTTAAACATTCACATCAAGATGTGGAAGTGATGTTCATTTCATTATTTATCTTTATCTTGGTTCAGGATGTCTGAAACTAAGGAGTGTTTTTTTTTCTAAAGCTAATTAAGAGAAGACTTCAGCCTTAAAGGGAGAGTTTTAATTGCTGGTCTTCTCCCTTTGTTTCTTCACTTCTCCTCTCTCACTTTCGTATCTCTTCCATGTCCCTGCCCCCTCCCCGAAAAAACCCAGAATGCTGCTTGCTATTCCAGAGTATAAATCAAGAACCCTTTTCCAGTTCTTTTAGAAACAACCTTTCATATTTCTTTACTACAACACAGGTTAGGTTACCATTGTTTTTGTTTTTGTTGTTTTTTTCCTTTTTATTGAGTTTATTGGTACAATCTAGGCATACAATACAGTTACATTCATCATTGGGATTCTGTACCTTTACATAATAGGTCTTGATTCTCATTTTTTTCCCCCTTGTCCCTGCCCTCCCTTCATCCCCTCTTCCCCTCCCCATTTGCAAACATTTTATTTCCATTTTTTCAGTTTCTCATATTTTTTTCCTCTCCCTTATTACCTTTCCCCCACCCTTCCCACTTTCCCTACACCTTTAGCCCTTCACTTCCTATTTCACATTATTAATTATCTCATTAGGATCCTGTGTACTATTATAGTTTTTCACACCAAAGAAACTATTCGGTATTTCAGTTAAAGAAATCTCTGTATGAACATTAAAAATAGGGAATCCTAAAATAAAAATAAAAAGGAAAGTAAAAGAGAAAAGGCCATGATGTAACATTAAAATAATCCTTAATTCTGAAGATGAAAATGGTCGCTGAACATATTTAAATTGCTCTTATAGTATTATTCTTTTTTTCATTATTTAGAGAATACTTTATTAGTTTCTGTAATCAAACCCACGTAGATATGACCTTACATATTTAGTATGATGTGTTACCCCTGTACACATGGAAAAGAAATTTTAAAAATTAACATTTCTAGACCAATATGGCTGTCCATTTCTGTACAATGCCAACTCACACAATTGGGATGACTTTTTCCAAAGTTGGCACACCATTAAAGTTTCCCTAAATTCAATTTATATATATGTGTGTGTATATATGTTTATATTTATATAAAAAGACTAATAATAGCAGTATGTTATGCATCGATAGCAGCAACAGCTTTTTCAGGTTCTGCAGTCATCTGAACAAAATTATAGACATTCAGCACATTCCCTTAAAAACAAAACAAAACAAAAAAACAAAGAAAAGAATAATATCCAGAAAACAGCAAAGTTCTGTTGCTGTTGGGGTACCTGGCAGCATTTTTTTTTTATTAGCATCTTAACCATAATCTGGAAAGAGAACATTCTAGAGTAATATCATTAAATGTAGCTCTGATAAAGCACAGTCCCTACTATGTATCATAAAGCAGGTACAAGATATTTTACATTCACAGAGGTATGCTACCGTACTGTCCTACATCAATAATACTAGAATCAGTTTTGGTTTGAACTTTATTTTGTCTGCAAATAAGATTGCTACCCCTGTTTTTTTCTGGGCTCCTGTCACATGGAGAATTGTTTTCTGTCTTTTCACTTTCAGTCTATGGGCTTCTTTTTGCACTAGGTGTGTTTCTTGTATACAACATAATGTTGGATTTTGCTTCTTATTCCATTTTGCCAGTCTATTTCTCTTGATTGGTGAGTTGAGGCCATTGACATTGCTGGTTATAACTGATATGTACTGACTTATTATTGACATGTTATTGGCCTTTTGCTGACTCTTTTTACTTTTTCACCTTCTCCTTTTAATTTCTTGCCTTGCCTATTTGATTTGCTCTTTTGGGCCTCATGGTGTTGTTGCCTTCATTGTCGTTTTCTAGGATCTTGTTTAGAATTCCTTGTAGTGCTGGTTTGGTATTCATGTAGTTTCTCAGGTGTTCTTTGTCTTATTTCCCCATCCATTTTGAAAGAGAGTTTTGCTGAATACATCAGTCTAGGTTGGAGGTGTTGTTCTCTTTTAGTACTTGAAATATCTCATTCCAGGCTCTCCTTTGCCCTAAGGGTTTGTGTTGAAAAGTCTGCTGTGATTCTGATGGACTTTCCTTTGTATGTGATTTGTTTCTTTTCTCTTACTGCTTGTAGTATTTTGTTCTTCAGTTGGGTTTCTGGGATCTTGATTATTATATGTCTAGGTGTAGATTTTTTTTTATTGTAGCTAGTTGGGGTCCTATATGCCTCAGTTATCTGAATGTCAAATTTTTCCCCTCTGTTTGGGAAGTTTTCTGTCATTAATTCTGCTAACAGCTTTTTTAAGTCATTTGTGTTTTCTCCTGCTACTTCATGTATTCCTATCAGTCTTATGTTATTCTTCTTTGCATCATCTGGGAGTTGTTGGATCGATTTCTCATAATCCCTTACTGTTTTTAAGAGATCTCTCTTTTCATGGTCACTGACTGCAATCTTATCTTCTATATCTGAGAGTCGATCTTCGCATTCTTTTATTCTGTTGTATATACTTTCTATGTTGTATTTAATCTCCTGGATATCTGTTTGAATCTGTTTTATGGATGCCATTTCTTTCCTATGTTGGGCGTTTATTTTTTCCATTTCTTTCTTATGCTGGGCCTTCATGGCTTCTATCATGGTCCTGAGCTCATCTATTTTTT